ATTGCATGTTTCAAATTTGTATCGGGAAATAAATGTTTTCAGTTACATAGTTCGTGTAAAATCGTGGTCTAATCATTCGTCACTGTTAACCACCGTCTCCCCTCCACACTCCACTTTCAATCTGAACTCTTTTCTCACTTTATTTACACATCAAGATACTCATCATCAGGGGGATCAGTGCAATTGACATGTAGTGAAACCCAATTCAATTGATACAAATCCTATCAACTTATCAGCTAATATTCAAGTATTGGTTTGTAGGGATTTGGTTGATTGGTTACAGGATTTCATCATGAAGTGACATTGGTTAGAAAAACATTGGAAAATCCAGGAGTACTGGACAGCTGTTTTGTCCTAGTTTGGGACTCTTCAACAGTACGCAACCACCGAACGCAGGACCTTCTGGTTACAAGGTGAGCTCGTATGCCATTAAGCCACTGGGACCCGATCCAATGACCCATGAATTCTAACTTCTGCTGATTCAGCTAATAGTATTATTTTATTAGTAATGTCATACCATTTTTATATAGCTTAGATCAATATTTAGAAGCCTAATAGGTAGATAGATTTCTTCAAGTCTGCAGACGCACCCTGTTAGTGACTCATTATAAGCATAGAAATTAACGTTTACAGTTTTTCAAGGAATTAACTAACACCTACTTTGAACAAAAGAAAATTCTACCATATTGTTATAAATACCTTTCGTTCATTTTTTTCAGAACGGAACTGTAAGGGAGAAGAGACTGATGAGACTTGAAGGAATGTTTATTAGGACAAACGCCTCGTAGGTACATGAATGTGGTAATCCACATCTCGAATGATTTATCATGCACATCATTCGCAAATCGGTCGAATATCCCTATAAATTCATAGCTTGTTGGATTCTCCACATTGTTTCTAACTTTCTTCTTCTTCTCACAGTTCTGTTCTTCAATTGCCTTATTCTAGTGTCTGAAGCATATTGTTGCTTTTCTGAATTCTTTTACTGATATACTACTCATATCTGGCTATAAGTAGTACTCAGCACAGAACTATAGGACTTCAGTAGTATATCCTCATTGTATTCTGTGCTGTGTTGTAATCTTTCCTAGTTAATTCCACCACTATCTATTAATCTTTCATTTCCTGTTCACATAATCTACTCCATGTCAACCTTAGGAAACTCTTAACTCGTCGTCTCTGATTCGAGCAATGGCCTGGTGTGTGGTGTCACATCAATGTCTACTCAAAATACGTCCAATGAATCTTCATATTTTTTTTCTGCAAATTTATTGAGTAAAAAGGTTCTTGGTTGATTCATTTACCAGAGTTCTTTGTTGCTTACTCTTTTCAAGTATTGGTTTAGTAGGGATTTTGTTTTTTGCATGGAGGATTTCATCATGAGCTGACATCAGTTAGAGAATCACTGCAAAACCTGGGGTTCTAGTGGGAAGCCGTGACCAGTAGGGTGCAGCAGGTTGAAGATGAGGCGGCAACTTAACATAGAAGACATTGCGAAATAGTAGCGCTATGTCATCAATTGGCAGAAGTTAGAATTCAAGGACCATGGATCTGTCGGGTCCCAGTGGCTCAATGGTCTACGAGCTTGCTTCCCTTGTAACCAGAGGTCCTGGGTTCGAACTCCCCTGTGATGGGTGCGTACTGATGAAGAGTCCCAAACTAGGACAAAACAGATGTCTGGTAGTACTCCCAGGTTTTCCAGTGATTGTCTAACTGATGTCAGCTCATGATGAAATCCTCCATGCTTACTTTTTTTCTGAAGACTATCTTCAGTGTCAAACCAAAGAAGGCAGCTGTTGATGAAAGTCCAAGGAATCCTGTTCAAAATGCTCCCGCTGACAAACCAGTTTTTTATTCCTTCACGTTCCCCAGTGAACCATAGGGCTTCAAGCTAGTGGCTTGAAGTTTCTGTTACACATTAACTCTGTAGCAGCACAACATGGTAGGATTTGGGGTAGCGGAATTTTTTTTATCTGGGGCAAAATGACCTACGTAGAATTTAGGTTATTTCGTAAGGATTTGAAAGATGAATTCCAATGTAGGTGTCACATCATGAACCAACATAAACAATTAGAGATCATTTAGAACTAGTTGTTTCGTCCTAGTTTGGAACTCTTCAACAGTACGTATCCAGGACTTTATTAAGGGTCGATCCTAGAACCTTAAGGTTATGAGACCACCAAGTATGAAAACTAATAAACCACTTCGACCCGGTGGATTCTAACTTTCCCTCCGGATTCGATCTCTGGTCGGCGTGGTGATGGATGGGCACTGCAGAAGTCTCCTAAACTAGGACGTTGTATTTCATCAGGCAGTTAGGACTAGAATCAATAGTAAAACACTTTATGTTGGGATGACTAGTATAAAAACTTTACAATATCTTATTTGACTGTGACACTTTTAATGTCTTAGGGAAAGCGTGCTAGACAGGGCACTACCAACTTACTGGGAAACAAAAAGCGAACGGTACTCTTTATTGTTACTTTCTTTAATACATTGTTGTTAATATTTTCACTTTATTTATACTTCTACTTAACAATATTATCAATGTAAATGGCCTGTGTTGAATTATTATCCCTGTATTATGCGGTGAGAACATCAGATGCAGTACTGTGTTATACTGCTGAAAATTCCTAAATACTATTTGAAAATAAAGCAATTATTATCATTAGTATTGTTAGTAAGCACAATACTGTATCAACAATATAAGAATAAACCTTGCGCATTGTGGTAGAGTATAATTCCATCATACGTGAAATTTATTTTGATAAAGTTTCATAGTGTTATACAGTAATGTCTACTGATGCAACCACGTTTCGAGAACAATTTATTACTACTGCTCACAATCATATCAAGACATTACTCACACAACTTCCTGAGTTCGTTTATATAACTCAATTATTTCAATTCATCGTTTGACTTGATCGGTACAAGTAGTAGTATTTTGCATATTTCTGGTATGAGTGATGAGTCATTGCATTCCACTGTACGTGTTGGGTGTAGACTCGATGAACCAGGCAGGATTCAGTAATCAACCTCTCTCTCTCTCCACCTATCCAGATTACTTTTTAGAATTATTATAACCCTCTCCTACCTTATTGTGTGGTTGTGTGTTAATGCATGCATGCAGTGCAATCGCTGAACTGTTTTCTAAATTACTTAGCTTCTCAGGGTCCACCATTCTAACCTTAGCTAAATTCTTATGTTCTGACAAGCAATCTGACTACCCTAGACCTACTAGTTTGACCTATGTAGTCGACTTAACTCACAGTCACTGCAAGATATTCTGTAAATTATATTATTTTGTTTAATTGGGTCAACCGACAGGGTCCTTCAACCTACAGAGCTTGTCCTACCTGAGTGAGTTTGTAGGTTCAAGTGCCACTCTAATCTCTGCTTTATTAAGAATCCTACTTAGGGATGGTTTCAAATGTCCCCCTCCCTCCTTATATGGTAAAACAGTAAGATGCCTAAAATTCTCTCTTATTTGCTTTATCATTATTAGTTTGAAAATTATTTTTATTTCGTTTTTGGCTTTTTCGGATCTTCCTAATGAATTTCATAGGATAGTTAGTTATTTAACACCAAAGCCTCTTCTATTTGTTTTAGTTCATCATTTAGGTCTTTTTAGTACTACTTAGTGCTACTGTTAGGTTTGTTAGGCGCTTAACTAAGCCAGTCTTCACATACAGACAGACAACAGAAGAGATGAGTCAAAGTCTAAATATCTATTAGCAGAATTCGTTGGTGTTTTATAAACACTGGTGTGCAGTTTACCTTCTTCTATTCGTTTTATTTTACAATCTAACACTAGAGCTAATTCTCCTTGTTCATTTTCCGATTCAAATGTGAGCTTTAGTCCCTCTACTCGTGAGTTTATGTGTGTGTGTGTGTGTCAAGAAGCTAGAGATGTGTACTGTGAAAGTGTCATCCACATACATCCACCATATTTCTGAATGTACATTAATCTTATGCTGATTTTAATTCAAATGTGTAATCATCAATTCCACTCATGTATAAAAATGAAGTGAGCTGTGTGAGTGACAATAATTTGTGCTCGAAAAGTGGTCATCAGTTAATATTACTGTATAACACTGTGAGACTGCATCAAAAAGCCAATAAATTCCCCCTGACCTTGAGGCAACCAATCCGATAAGCATCAGTGGTTTTTACATACAAATGACTGATGTGACTTAAAAATATCTTCGAATCATAGTGTTCACTTTGGTCAACAGGTTTCCGAATTTACTTTTTGCTCTAAATGTTGTATAGCAGAAAATGAAAAGTCTGCTTTATCATCAGGTGAAACTCATATACATGAAAATGGTTTCTCATTTCCGGTTGTTGAAGTTATACAAGATTTTATCAGTGAAAGTGAAGAAGCTATGCTAATTAGTGTAACTGATGAACAACCATGGTTTTTATCTCAGTATGGCAGAAGAAAACAGGTAAGCATGATTCATGTTATATGCGGTGACTTGTTCGTTTAGTATGTTCTCAATTTCAGTGGCTTTATGTTTTTCTGTCTGTCTGGATTCAACATAGAACTTGGCACTGAAGTACAGCACTTCGAGTTGCCACGTTCCAAATACCACACAAAGGTAGACAAGAAGATGAGTGAAGAGAATCAATACAGTCTGACAAGTATAAGAGCGGAACAGAATGGGTAATGGTAGAAAGGAATACGAAAGATTACAGAGACTGAATACATCTGCTCCATTGACAACGATTTTGAGCCATGTCACCTATTGTATCCAGCCATTGATTCCTAGAGTCCCGAGGGCCCCAACCCGGAAGTCTGCTGCGTATCATATATCGGCTGCGTATCGATGAAGAGTCCCAAAGTGGGAAAGCAACAGTTGTCTGGCACCACTCCCAGGTTTGTTAAATTGTTCGCTAAACAATGTCAACTCATTATGAAATCGTGTAATCAATCTAATCGAATCCCTATAAACCAATACTTAAACATAAATAAACAGATAAATTCAAAGTTAACTCACTTAAAATGAGTCAATTTCTCTTCAGTCACCATTTGAGCAGATTGTTGACCAGCTAACGTATCAGGCCATAAACTATCTGGAAATGAATAAAAATGTCCACCAGCACTTGTTCCCAATCCAGCCCAATGATATAAATCCCGTAGACCACCAACTTCAGCACCACGATAAACACAAGCCACAAGGAAATCACGTGCTGCTAATGAACCACGAATTAGACTGCCTTCATCAGTATTATTATTACTATTCAACTGTAGAAAATTACGTCGTAGAATAATATCCCAACCGATACTTTCAGGTGATGAACGTATCAGTAAAGGTGTACTATTTTGAATTAAGAGTACATCTAATTTATTTTCATTTGAAGCCTGTTTAAGTACGGAAGAAAAATGGGTTTGTTGTTTAAAAAAAGAGAAATAGCTATGAATCATCTACAATTGGATAATGAATGATTATGAGATATACGAAGGTGTACTTCCCGAAAACAAATAGAATTCTTACAAACTAACTCTTCAGAATTAATCTGATACTCGCTGGCTACAGGAGGAAGCTGCTTGGACTTTTAGTGAGAAGTTGTGACCAGTAAGGTTCATCCAGTCGACAGTGAGGATGGATTTCCCACCGATGACAATGGTTGATGGTCGTGCTAAAATCACGTATCGGTGAAAGTTAGAATTCATGGGCTGATTGAAAGTAGATATTATAACTACATTAATTTTCGGTGTCTTCAAAACCAGACAGCAGATAAGAGCTATAGTTAGCTGACTGACAATGATGTCAACATACTAAAGTCTACCGATCAGAAAACATATGAGTGACCTAAACTTGATTTCCAGCAAAACACCTACGCACCAGATTGAAAATTTACTCTTTCTCTGATTGGTAGACTTCATTTAGCTACCAGTGGAACCAATCAGCTATATATTAATAATCCAGACAAGGTCAAAGTAATGGGTGTCGACATAAAATAGGAATTTGATTGGATGACACATCTGTTTAATAATTAATCATTCATTAGTCACCATTTACAAAGAAAAATAAGTGATGCAGTCTCACGAGACATTGTAAAGATAGGTGATGCATACTTAAGCTATTTTTAGAATAATAAATTCTAAATTAGCAAAAAATAATAATGTCATCATAGAGGGTTACGCACATGAATATGTAATTATTGAAAATCTGACATTGTAAAAATGTTGAACTTATAATTCCATTAGCGCGACGGGCGTTTCATGAGTGTGTAGTGGTGAATAATTCCATTAAAAAATTACTAGCCTTACAGCTGTCATCATTTAACAATGCATATTCACCCTTGTTGTTTAAGTCGACTTGTAGATGAACAAGGATCCTCACTACTTACTGTTTTTGGAATAAAGTAAATCATTATTATTATTATTACTTGGTAAGCTATGGTGTCATATGCAGTTAGTGTAGTGCACATCACTGCCCGGCGCCTTATTTTTATTACTCTATTAGGTTCCGAGCGAAGCACAGGGCTTCTTCACCAGGACGCTTCCATCTTGTCGTGTTCTCTGAAGTTTTCTTCAGCCTGCCTCACGATCGATCGCCCATAAACTTTCATCTCCTCACCACATGATATCCTCTAATGTTATCCCCAGACCAACGCCCAACTCGTCATTTCAGATACAGGTGCCGCCCAAGTAATGTCACACAAAGGTCCTCTCACGCTGATCGGTTGCATGAGAAAATGATTTTACAAATTTTAGGTTGAAACAGTTAAATTACTGGCATTCTCATATTAGACGAAATGATCTCATGGAATAACTACGGAGGTGCTCAAAGATAGTGGAGATGAACTCTTATCTTGACTTAAAGTACAGATATTGTCTGAGAATCAGTTTCAGTCCTACTGGACTGTTGCACATCATTGATTTTCTTAGTTCACAAAAAAGGGAAAGGCAAGTAGAAATCTCAAGGCAACTGGCTTCACTAATATATATCTTATCTAATATTTTAGGTTCAGTAAATATGTATAGACAGAGTGGTTCTTGAGACAAAAGTGAAAGAAATGGAAAAGGTATCAATGATAGATAACACCAGAAGGCAAATTTCGACTAATCAGGGAAACCGGAGAAGACCGACAAATTGACTGAAGAAGCAGCTAGAGAAAAAAGGACTGCAGGTGAACATATAGAAGACAGAGATGATGAAGATAACCAACCGACAGCGACATCAACAGGAACAATAACCAGCACCAATCACTATTACATTGGGAGAAATGTGACAGTGGTTACTTCCTTCACTTCTCCAGTCAAGAAGCATGGTTTCAACCACAGACGGATGGAACGACTGAAGATGTCAAATCCAGCTAGCCAGAATAAGAAAGGCAAGATATGCCTACATCAACCTGAAACCAGTTTGGAAATTTTCTGCACTGAGCTTCACAGAATAAAGAACAAGATTCAGATATTCAACATAAATGAGAAGTCAGTCAGTTAATACTTCTATACGGGTTAGAAACTTGCACTGCGTGTGTGCGTCACGAAAAGCATTTTCAACAATTTGGAGACACTTATCAACAGCCGCCGCCTTCTCAGGCTGGCTCGACAGTGAAGATCAAATGGCCAGCTGGTCGGCCAGAAAGAATTAGTTACAAGAAACTCTGGCTTACAACAAATCAATCAAGAGACAACTGCTCAACAAATATGTAGGAGAAAATGCAGATGGATCGGACACATACTGAGAAGACCGTTGAATGACATCGCTAACAATACCCTCAAACAGAACCCCAACGGGAGGCGACGAGTTGAGCGTGAGTCCGAGAATGACATAGGGGAGAATCAGGGAATATGGGTAATAGTGCGGCCAGCTACAGAGGACCACAGAAAATAGAACACAAGAGAGATGTGCGGTCGGATCACGATGTTTCACTCGGAACCCAAGGGAACAATTATATATATATATATATATTATTATTATTATTATTATTATTGTTATTATTGTATCCTTTAGTTCCTAGAGGAACATAGGGCTTCAGCTGCGCACCTCCATTGCTTTCTGTTTTCTGACAACGTTTTCACCCCGCTCCAGGTCTGTCCACATGCTTTCATCTCCTCCTCGCATGACCTCCTCCAAGTCACCCTTGGACGACCAACTCGCCGCCTCCCTTTCGGGTTCCACTCGAGCAGTGGCTTGTCTAGTGATGTCACTTGATGGTTTATATATATATATATATATATATATATATGAAGAAGCACTTACTGAATTCAATATTGTAGAAAGTAATTGATCAGGTGATGAACACTGATTAATACCTGGATAAGACTCTTGAATATTTGACCAGGATAATTGTTTTCCAGAAGGTAATATAAAACCAGATTCTTTCGTTGTAGCATCAGATATAGGCTTTGCTTGAGAATTATTGTCGTTTAGTTTGATTGGTACTGTACACCAATTCTTATTACGAATCTTCAAACGTGGTCTAAAAACAGGTTAACAAAAGTAGTAATGGACAGCATAAATAAAAGTTTGTGAGGTCTAATAAATCATAATGAGTCATAGAGTGATCATGAAGGTGAAACAGACAGCTATTAAGTAAAAGTTGGAAACTAGGTGTTGTCATCTCTTCTAATCCAACCGTCGATTTATACCATTTTTAAACTTGCAACGCAAACGAAGTAGATGTTTAGTGCTCTCTTCCGCTTTCAATAATCGTTCCAATGTTTCTGAAGGTTATGCTGTTCTTTCCACATTTCTGTTTTGATTTCTTCTTACATGACTTATTACTTGCCTTATTCTAGGTGAAACCGATTTTGTTAGGTATGCTGATGATCTGACTGTTTCTACTGCCGGCGATTACCTCTCAGTCAGACTGTTCCAAAATGATTAACTTTTTATCAGAAATTAGTCAGTGGTCCTTCACAAATGGTCTTAAGCTTAATCCCTCCAAATGTCACGTTGTTAATTTCACTTTCAGATGTAAGCATGACTTAAATGAACTGGTTAGTTCACGTGTTTCCACTAACATAAGTTGAAACTAAATCGAATGTAAAAAAAAAACTAATCACTCGCATTGTGTATTTGATCTCATCTCTCTTGATCTTTTCACATTACGATATTTCATCCAACCGTCTATGTGAAGGAATAAAAACAATCTCGTATCACTCAGTCTCTATCTAATTTTACAGTTTGTTGATTCTTGTATTCTATTCTTTTCCATGCTATGCAGGAAAGATATTGTTACACTGCGAAGGCCACTGACTGACATATTTTTATTTTTTTTATTTTTGATTTACAGCTTGATTCCACAACGTATTTTTGGTACAAGTATGGAATTTTCAGCGTGGATATCGGTAGCCCAAAATTCGCAGGCCGACCATAGATATCGGGTGTGCGTCGGCGTAGGCTCGAACCCCGGACCATGTGCATGAAGCACACAAAGAGGAAGGAGATGGCTAGAGATGCATGTGTAAAACAAATGTCATAAAAATCTCAATCGATATAACTTCACAACCTTGTCCATCGATTTAGCCTCCTTACCTAGTACTCGATGGGAACCTAATTTCAATATTGCTCACCTTATTATGTCATTTAACACGTGAGAGAGAGAGAATGCAGATACCTATGATCAAAGAGAGTTAGTCTTTTTTGTATCTTCCACTTTCAATGGCCATCTCTCACTTACAATCATAAAGGACAACAGAGTAAACTGCTACTGAGCAGTACACACATCCTTTGGTTAACAGTCGGATATCACGTCTACTAAGCCAGACATGGAGTAAGTTAGCGAATGCGAAACCAGACACTTCTGTATCCGTGTTGAGATTTCGTCAGCGAACAACTTCGTTGGGCCTGGCTTATGCAACTTGTCATGTAAAAGAAGTGGTCAACACAATCTACCACTTCACTCCTGCCTATCTTTGCTCTAGGAGTTGATGTTATCCAGTCCACGCATGTAGCATCACCTTACATTTGAAAGTAGGAGCGAATCACTTGCCAAATATTCGAAAATTGCTGATCCTCAAGGTGTTCAGGAGACCCTGTCTGTATTTTGTCAGAGTCTTCATCTAGGAGGGCGGACTATATCATCTTTACAATCTAAGTCTGTTGCTACACAACTACTAATATCAGTACATCAGTAGTATATGGTTTTAACTACATATCTGCATGGTTTCGATTTAATATGTATAATTCTCATCAGGTAAATAACACTACTGAACATTGTTCAGGTGATCATTCAACATATACACAGATATTTGAAATGCGGCGTGAAGAAACATGATCTGTGCAGGAAAGAAACCATGAACATATAGTCTTGCGGTTTCACTTCAATTATATACAGTATATAAAATAATATATATTTCAACAAAAACCTGATAGACTCTCTCAAATTAAGGCATTTCATGCACATTTTGATGTCAAGACTAGTATTCAGAATTAGGTCTTCATTGTAGTATATATCCTGAAGATATCGGTGACAAAACCATCGTAGAATAAGACAGAAGTAAATAAACATTTTTTTATTTCAGTAATTGTGTCCCGGTTCCCAGTATAACTCTTAAACTGATATTCTTAAGAGTTAGTTTTGTAGGGATTTGATTTGATCCCACAATGTTGACCGCGGATTGAAATCAGTTTAGAGAATCATTGAAAACCATCACAGAGTGCTACCAAGGAGCTGTTTCGTCCTACTTTGGGAGTCATCAAAAGTAGGCACTGGTTTTCAATGGTTCTCTAACTGATATCAATCCGTGATCAACTCGTAATAATAATATGGTAAACGTTTTGTACGACATTAATAACGATGATTATAATGATAACAAAATATTGATAATAAGGTTTATGCAGGTAGCGATAAGAATAACTAAGATAGTCTATGTATATATGAGTATATGTAGACAATTGCTGTTGTGGAGAGAGCTATATAGGGTGAACAACTAGACAGCTTAACAAACCCACTAATGAGCATCTTCCTTCATGGCTCGGAAAAGCTCAAATAAAATCCATACGAAGTTCTCTTTTGGCTCATTTGATTGATAGCGGTCACCAAGTGGACAGAAATAGTGCCTTCAAAGTAGTTATCTATCGCATTCCATCGAGTCTTTCGAACGGAATCAGAACCCGTCTTTTACACTTGGCCGAAGTT